TTTCCATAGAAATTTCTTGTCTCGTTTTATAGACCATTATATTTCATCTTCTCAAAAATGTTACAGACTGTCCTCTTGGGCTTCTGTCTTGCCAACTAAGTAACACTGATCCCTTCTTGTTCCTGTAGGATGATTATCCTCCAGGGCATCAAGACTCAGTCAGGGTATGTGTTTGCTCAAAATTTCTACAGATTCCTTGAGCTTCATCCAATGGGACTTCTCACATCTTCAGAATTGATTTCACCCTCCTCCAAACGACAAGACCATTCCATTTGCAAATACGTCATTGCACTTGTCATGATCTTTCCTCTCTCAGGCGTATTTTGTATTTCTTCCCTTTTTGTCTAGACTGAAAATTCACTGAGATTAAGGTCTATGTCATACTCAGATCTGTACCCCAACAGTCCTTGATGCACATGATTTGTAAAGATTGGTTTATGAATAACAATGGGTAGTTATTTAATTAATAAATAATGAGTGAATGACTGTGTGAATAGCTAGCTTGGTTGTGTGGATCATATTCACTGACCGATTCAGGGCAGCTTCCAAGTTATTAGATGCTTTAGTCAGCTTGGGCTGCCATAACAGAATTCCACAAACTGTGTGGCTTAGACAAAATTTATTTTCTTGTAGTTCTGGAAGATGGGAAATCCAAGATCAAGGTGCTAGCTGATTCCACTTCTGATAACAGCTTGCTTCCAAGCTTGTGAACGGCCATCTTTCTGCTGTGACCTTCACTAATAAGACCATAAATCCTACTGGATTAGCCTATCCATCTTATTGGATTAGGGTTCCACCATTATGACCTCATTTACCTTATATTACTCTCTGAATGCCCTATCTCCAAAGACAGTCACATCGGGGCTGCATTTTTAGTAGAGACAGGGTTTCAGCATATGAATTTTGGGGTGACACAATTCAGCCATACCACTAATTAATTTTTTCAGTTACAGAATCAATTATTTTGACCAAATCTCCTTGGAACCCAGTTGGATAAAAACTGAGGGACTAGTGATTTTATGGTCCAAAAAGGCCTGTAGTGAATTATCTTTCTATTTATTTTCCTTCCAGGTCTAAATCCATTATCATCAGAAATGCACAAGAAATGCTATAAAAATGGCATCTGCAGACTTGAGTGCTATGAGAGTGAAATGCTAGTTGCCTACTGTAAGTTTCAGCTGGAGTGCTGTGTCCCAGGAAATCCTCCACCCTGACACGAAAAAGCAGGGAATTGCCACCATATTGAAGGCCCTTGATTCTGCCATCTTTCACAAAACCAGGGAATTTAGATCAAACTGTGACAAACTGTGTTAATCCCAATGTAACATCACATATATTTCTGTTGCATTAGGACTAGAGACAAGTTCTGTTTAGAAATGACTCCAAGAACAGTTTTTATGTTTCATTTTCACATTGAAAATCAGTCAAATTTGCATCAGCTTCAAAAAGCGTGTTATATAAAATCATATGAGCACAGGCAAGCTGCACTTTTTTTCTGAATGGGAAATAGGTTAAACAGTGTCAGACTCTCCTGAAGAGCCCCAGTAAAGGAAGGAGATTCTCTACAGAATATGAAATTCCCATCAAGAGACAGCTTTGCAGGACTTTCAAAATATGTCAAAGAGGCTGGGCGCAGTGGCTCATACCTGTAATCCAAACACTTTAGGAAGTCGGGGGTGGGGGTGGTGAATCACCTGAAGTCAGGAGTTCGAGACCAGCCTAACCAACATGGAGAAACCCTGTCTCTACTAAAAATGCAAAATTATCCGGGTATGGTGGTGCATGCCTGGAATCCCAGCTACTCAGGAAGCTGAGGCAGGAGAACTGCTTGAACCCAGGAGGTGGAGGTTGCAGTGAGTCGAGATCACGCCATCACACTCCAGCCTGGGCAACAAGAGCAAAACTCCATCTCAAAAGAAAAAAAAAATACATCAAAAAAATGTATTTTAGGGTCAAATACTTTGATTTTTGTAGCCCACTATCTATCTCGTGATGTTATACCAGAGCCAGGTTGGAATTTGGTGTCTTATTGCTGCAGAGTCTGTTTTCTCAGTTAAGATCTCTGTTTTAATGTTAATGCTGGCCCATTGTGCCTAAACCCCAAAGGGAGAAGGTATAATAAGGGATCTGCCACACCTCCCTCCTTCCCGTCGTTGCCTCATATAAGAATAGCTACTCCTGCTCTCTTTTAATTTCCACGTGCACAGACTACCTTTTCCCACCCTTTTATCTTTGATTTGTATGAATCCTTCTGTGTTAGGTGAGTCTCATGAAGACAGTAGACATTTGGATTGTCATCTTTTAATCCATTCTTCCATCCTGTACCCAAGTGGGGCACTTAGGCCATTTACATTCAATGTTAATGTTGAAATATGAAGCAACGTTTTTTCATCATGTCGTTATCTAGAAAGGTTTTTTTTTTTCATTGTTATTGTTTTATAGGCCCTGTGAGTTTTAAATCTTCAAGAGGTTCTATTTTAATGTATACTGAGCTTTTGTTTCAAGGTTTAGAACTCCTTACAGCAGTTCTTGGAGTGCTAGATTAGAAGTGACAAATTCCCTCAGCATTTGTTTGTCTAAAAATAACTTTATTTTTCTCCATTTATGAAACTTCCTTTTACAAGATACAGAATTTCTGACTGCCAGTTGTTCTGTTTAAGGAGGTTGAAGATAGGACCCCAATCCCTGCTGGCTTCCAAGGTTTCTCCTGAGAAGTCTGCTGTTCATCTGATAGGTTTTCCTCTGTAATTTACCTGCTGCTTTTTTCTTACTGCTATTAGAATTATTTCCTTCGTGTTGACCTTAGATATCCTGATGACTATTGCCTTAGTGAAGATGTAGTGAATTTCCCAGGAGTTCTTTAAGCTTCTTGGATTTGCGTATCTAGATCTCTAGGCAGGCCGGGAAAGTTTTCCTCAGTTATTCCCTAAAATATGTTTTCCAGACTTAGCATTTTCTCTTCTTCCTCAGGAACACCAATAATTCTTAAGTTTTGTCATTTGCATAATACCATACTTCTTAGAGACTTTGTTCATTTCTTTTGATAATTTTTCTTTATTTTTGTCTGATTGGGTTAATTCAAAAGCCTTGTTTTGAGCTCTGAAATTCTTTCTTCTACATGTTCTAGTTCTAGAAACTTTCAACTAGAACATGTAGAAAATTTCATAATTTTGTAAATTACAAAATTACAATGTATTTTGTAATTCCCTCAGTGTGTTTTCATTTCCAGAAGTTCCAGTTTTTTTTTTCTTGATAGTTTCTCTCTGGACAATTTTTCATTCAAATCCTGAACTGCTTTTTAAATTTCTTTATAATGGTTTTTGCCTTTCTCCAATATCTTCTTGAGTAGCTTAATAATCAATCTTTAAATTTCTTATCTGGTATTTCAAAGATTTCATCTTCGTTTGAGTCCATTGCTAAAGAGCTAGTGTGACCTTTTAGGTATGTTATACCACCTTGTTTCGTCACGTGTCTAGAGTTATTTTTCTGGTTCCTTCTCATCTGGATAGGCTATTTCTTCTCGTTTTCTTGAATTTATGTTTGATATGACTGTATGACTGTTTCTCTCATTTGTTTGTGGTTTTTTAATTGCTTTTTTCTCCTTGAGGATGAGACTTTAGTTCTTACAGTTAATCATAGCCTCATTTAGTTCCTGGTGCTTTAGGGGTGAAAACCCTTGGTTACAGAGTCTTCGTATGATGGTTTTCTCATGTGCTAGTTGTAGTAGCGGTGTGCTCAGTTTGTGAGCAAGTTCATGGTGTTCTGTGGGTTGGAAGGGTAGGGGTCTGTTGAAGCTTATCTCATCCCCCCAGAGTGTGTACTTTTTATTTATTTATTTTCCCGCAGTATTTTATTCACTAATTGGTGGTTCAGGCTTCTGGCCAGTAGGAACCAGTTGTGCCTAAAGCAGAGGGGTAAAGGATGTCCCAGGCTTGACAGAGGAGGCTGGAGGAGCTCTCGGTCAGTTGCACTGGGGTCTTAACAGGGGAAGGGTTGGAGCCATCTCAGCCCTCCTGCCAGATCAGCAGGAAAGTTACACCTCTCAGGCATGCTCCTGTCCCTGTGTTCCTAGTGTTCAGGAGCTGACTGACAGGCACTTCTTTTCATCTGTAGGAATGTTGATGTTCCAAATAGAGAGGAAATGTGGCTCTGCCTCCCGTGCAAGTTTGAACCTAGAGGGTGCGCCTTCTCTGAGGATGTGGCCACCCTCATGTGTTCCAGGAAGATTGTCTATATTTGCACCCACACTAAGCTCCCATGGGAGAAGCCCCAACTGTGCCTGTGGTGGTGGACAAGGTGGGAAAGACTTCCTTTTCCCCAAGACCCTTCACATGCGCCAGAGTTGTCTGACTGTTGGGCTAGAGCTGAAGACCTTCCCTCCTGAGCCCAACATTACAACCTTGCCTCTACTGAAGGAAGCTTTCCATCTGGTGCTCAAGGCCTGCCGTCTGGATTGTTTTGCCCCACAGGGCGTTCCCTTGATGTGGTGCACTCCTTCTTCCCCTTCAAATGGGAGTCCCCGGGAGCCAGATTACTGTGAATGTTGTTGCTCCTCTGGGTCTAGCTGCCCAGAAAAGTTGCCACACTCTAGGCTGGTGCTGGGAAATGTCTGCAAGGGATTCAGTTATGTGACCTGTGCTCGAGTTGCCCAGCAGTGGGTAGCAGCACCAGCTCGAATGCGGGTGGCAGGGTTGTGACATAGCTTCTGTGAAATTCCTTGGTTATTGATAGCCTAAGTGTGTTGGCTTTCTTGAATGCGGGTTACAGTAGTAACAAACTCGTCTTGCGGACAGACTCAGGACCTCCTGGTTAGCCAGAGTGGTGCAGGCAGTGCTGACAGGTGAGATGCATAGCGGTTTTCTCTTCCCTGGGTGCAGCATTAATCCACGGGGCGATACTGTCACGGACAGTGTCGGTTGGCCTCCAGCCAGGAGGTGGCGCTTGCAAAACAGCAGCAGCCGCGGTAGCAGCAGTGGGGTTTTTGCTTGCTTGATGTTACCCAGAAGGAGAAACGCTGGTTTCTCCGGACAGGGGCGGGGCCACGTCGCTTCCAGGAGATTACGTCGTTTGCGTTAAGTTACCGGCGCGGGTGGCGGGGCAGTCAGGTAGGGGCTGGGACGGACGGGTTTGCACACGGGTTTCCCTGTGCAGAGAAAACAGCAGCCCCTGCGGGTGTCGGGGAGGGGCGCGGGTCTCAGGTTGATGTTTCAGTGGGGAGCGTTGCTGCCCCTGCTGCAGGGAAGAGCCTGTGCAGGGTGTGGGGTGCGCTAGGCGGTGGTAAGCTCCGCAGCTCCTACCCACTTGCAAGGCAGATCCACTCCTACAGTGTTCGCCGGAAGCAGTGAGCTCACTTCCACTCAGCCTGCAGTGAACTCGCGGCTGCCGGGGGCCGAAAGCGTTCCCCGCAGAGATTGCAGCCCGGGCGTTCAGGCCACGCCCCTCCCTGTCCGCCGTAGAGCTGGGGTGCACCCCTGCTCCTGCGCTTGCAGTTTCTGCACCCACGACTCCTGCACCTGCGGCTCCTGGACTTGCAACCCACTTTTCACCCTCCCCGGTCCTGGCCCTGGCCTGGGAAGTTCGTCCCCATCCGAGGTGGTACTGAGGAGCCCTGTGAAGAGCTTCTTTCAACCTGCAACCAGCGCCAGAACGTTTTAGCTGGCCGCAGGTCCTCCTGTGAGGAACAGTAAGGCGTGGCTGCACTCAATCCACGCTGGGATCTGGAAGTGCATGCAAGGGTCTGCCCCTGAAAGTATGGAATACTTTTGTATTCCATAACCCCCTCCAAGTCTGTTCCTGCGCTAGGTCGGTTAGGGCTTTCCCTCCTCCCCCACCCCCCACCAAGCACCCCCACCTCGTGTCCTGGACTTTCAGGCTCCTTAGTGGGGTACGTATCCCAGAGGCAAATTCCCCCTCTCACACTCAGGGGACTCGCAGCCCTTCGCTTGACTCACAGTGTAGGCTGCAGCCTCCTGCTTCCTTCAAAGCATCAGTAGACTCCTGCGGTTTTCCTGTTCAGTTATTGCATTGCTTCTTGAAAACTAGTTCACAGTGTGAATCTGTACACACTATTTTGTCCTTCCAAGCGGGAGAGAGATGCTAGCAATTCCTCTAATCCACCATTTTGGAAAAGCATTCCTAATTTTTCACGGATAGAAACATGTTTATGGCCTGGTCATCCTAAACAGCACAGAATGTTTTCGTGCATTGCAAACTTACAGCACACTCGTATTTCAGTTTAACTATTTTCAGTATGACTTCTGCTTTATTGTTTTCAATGTCAAACCACGAGTGTTCCTTAGTAGGTTCCCAGGTTGGACAATCCAATAGAAAAGTGGACGAACGTCGTTAAGGGTCATATTACAAAGAAGGATATCTAAATGGCCAATAAAATCTGAAAAGGTGCTCAGCTACATTAGGTCATCCCTGCAACACAAATTAAACCCCATATGTCATCACTATATACTCCCTAGAATATTTTTTAAAGGCAGGAAATACTAGATGTGGATGAGAATGTAAAAGCAAGAAGAATGCTCAGACATTATGGATGGAAGTGTAAATTGGTACAACCAATTTGGAAAACAGTCATGCTATGTGTTTACCAAAACTGAATGTGTGCATAGCCAGTGCCCTAGCAATTTCACTCCTAGGTGTATGACCCCACAGAAATGCCTGCACCACAGCAGCATTTATAAAAGCAAAAACTGGAAACCACAGATATGACCATCTTCACTAGACTCTTCAAACAAATTGTAATATATTTCCCAATGTAATACAGTATGCCCTTGAGAAGGATAAACTACAATTACATGACACAGATTAATAAACGTCACAAAAGTAATGTAGAGTAAAAGAAGCCAGACACAAAGAAATGCCTATAATTCCATTTATATAAAGTTCAAAAACAGGTGTCAGGAGTTTCCTATTAAAAGTCAGGCTAGAAATCATTTTGTATGGATTAGTGGCTGGTAGTGCCTGTGATGTTGTAATGTTCTTTTTTGGAGCAGGGTGCTGATTACACACGTGTGTTAAATTTGTGCAACTATCAGGATGATGTTTACTTATGGTTTGCATATTTTTAATTGTGTGTTATGCTTCAAAAAGTTCTTAAGAGACTTTTAAGAAGCAATAAATTAATAAAAAGAAAAAATACTGAATACAAGGAATTAGAGTATTTCTAGGAGAGACAATAAAAAGAAAGACAGCAGACACAGGAACACTGATAGCCTAAAGCCATTGTTTCGATGGAAGTTTACAACTGAGAAGATCTGGGTTCCCAGAAGAAAGCAGCAGCAGCTTCCAGGCACTCACAGCTATTTCCCAGTCAGTATAGGCAGCTGTTTTGGGCTTGCACAGCACAGATATGTAGTATCACACAGAATATGATATTCTTCATTTTTTAAACATTTTGACCTGCAAGTACCATGTAGTCGCCAACATGAAGCAAAGGCTTTTTGTATGTAGGCATTGGGTCCGCTGCTACCTGCCAAGAGAAGCAAAGGTTAACGCACAGCGTCCTGCAGTGTCATGTTGCAAGACGTTTCACAGCTGGATGTCCCTTTTCAGTTGCTCTTACCTTGTTTTCTGAGGGTCCTATTATAAGCCATTTTATGACTCCACAATTAATTACATGAATTGCTAATCAATTACATGGAGTTAACAGGGGCCAACATACTCAGCTTGAGATTGCTACAGAAAGAACACTCAGAACATCGAAGTCCTCCCAGGAGTCAGCAGAGGTCCCATACCAGAAGGTGTGCAGGGTCTGGAACAGCTGCATGAGGCAGTGTGTGATTGTCAAAGTGTCAGCATGAAGAAAGAAAGATCACTGAACTAGAATTCTAGGAGCCTGCAGTTCTACCCCTGTACTCTCCAATAACGTTCTACATGACTTTTTATCAAGTGCTTCATCACAAGGTACTTAAGAGAACCCGTGGGAGAATGAGTGTGAAATGGTTTGAAATAGCTAAGACAAATAAGGAAATTTATTGCTAGTAATTTTCCTAGACCTTAAGAACTGGGAGCCTCTGGAAACCAAAGGGTGGAGGAGGGGTGGTAAGAGGCAGTTTGAGAGGGTAAGGGTGGCCCTGAGTTGCCTCTACTGAATCATCTGCTCTTGCATGCTAAGTCTTAGCAGTCTCTCCACCCAGGTGCCCCCATGAGTCCGTGGACTGAGCCTTTGTGGTGTGAAAATAATCAGTGTGGTATGATCAAGGGCCATTAGCAGGCAAACTTGCCCGCTGTGCGCTCAGTAGACCTCAGGCACCTTTCTGGGGACAAAGGTGTCCAGTAGAGACACAGTGCAAAATGTCCAGAGGTCCCACCATGCAGAAAATCAGCCACTATCTCAGCATGATCCACTTTCATATCTGTCCTCTTTCTTTCTCTCTCTTTCTTCTTTCTTTCTCTCTCCTCTATTTCTCTCTTTCTCTTCTTTCCTTCCTTCTTTCTTTCTTCACAAGTAGCTGGGACTACAGACACACGCTACCACACCCAGCTAATTTTGTATTTTTAGTAGAGACAGGGTTTCACCATATTGGCCAGACTGGTCTCAAACTCCTGACCTCAGGCAACCCACTCACCTCAGCCTCCCAAATTGCTTGGATTACAGGCGTGAGTTACTGCGCCCGGCCTCAAATCTGTCTTTTAAACACTTCAAACTTGGTCCCTGAGTGATACACTTTATAGATGAGGGTTTGAGGCAAAGAGTAGGGGCTTTCTGCTGACCCCAGAAAACCACAAGCACAACAGTTTTGAGAACCTTCACTTTAGTGACTGAAGTAGACTTTTCTCATTGTCACCAGGTTGCTGGCTTCTGTCCAGAGAATGTAAACCCCTCAAACTGATGTTTCATAGGACCTCGTCATGCTATGAGTTAATGTAATACACCTTAATAACCAGCTGTGTCTATGGATTCTGCTCAGCATAAAATTTGCCTTGGCTTCTAAATGAGTGAAAAATAACATGTGTGGCTGACGGTGGAAGGCAAATCTAAGAGTCCTCTAAGAATAGCCTCCCTCTCACCTCCACGTCCTCCCTGTTCTTCACGGTCTCATCTTTTTGCTCTGCCCTACTTCTACCAACACCAGCAGTCCAACCTTCCCCTCAAACTTCACCAGCTCCCCAGACCAAGACCTATGCCCAGTTTCTGTCTGTAGAGAGCTGCTTCCTGCTCTGTGTCTTTGCACCTTTTCTCCGTTCTCTATACCAGCTTCCTTTGTCCAGTTCCTCCTTTTTCTCACTCTGGTAGCACCTCACACCCTTCTTCCCTTTATTCTTCCTAATTCTACAGGGAAGGGACTCCATTTTACCTGGTGGGACATAGGAGAGCAAGACAAGGACCGCAAGGCCCAAGAGGACACTCCTTGTGACCATAATCAGCAAAGAAGCGGCTTCGGTGCCGGGGAGAGTGACTCTACGCAGCCTTGGTGAGAAGGGAAGCTGCGTGGCTAGTGAACCTTTTGGAACAAGAACGTCTGCCTGCTCCATTGAGCAGTCCAATCAGCAGAAGGTCTGGGCATGACATCTCTTTGTTAAAGTACACTTCCTGGGTGCCACATGTGTGCTAGCAGCTGCGTGCACCCTGTGTAAGCGGCCCTGTTTAGGCTCTGGTTGGATACTGTGTAGATGTCTGTGTATCTTCATTGTACGTCCACTTAACAAATGCCCATAGTGTGCAGAGAACCATAAGCCTGCCTTGTATAATTGAGAAAGTGGTTTTTCTTTCAAACACACACACAAAATCCAGGTAGGCGTGATTCTGTCCATTTTAAAAGCAAAAATAGAGTTTCAAGTGGAAGAAATGACTTTCCCAAGTTTACATAGATCCTAAATGGCAGCAACACGACTTAAAAGCAGGCTTCCCTGACTCCTATATACAGAAATACTAAAGTATGGCCTTGCCCAGTTCTGGTATAGCTGCAATGTCTCTAGGAAAATAAGAGCTCCTCAGAACCAGCATGGACAAAGCAAGTCCCCATCACACCCGCAACATGACCCTGGGAAAAACTGAGTCTTATGGCTCCCCATTGAGTATATGCTGCGTGCCAGGTAATAGGAAGCACACAAAGAATTTATGACAGAATTCTTGCTTGGAGGGACTAAAGGTCGACAGCGTTTGTTTTTAAAGTGTTTTAAGTTTTCCAACAACTTTATCTGATACTGTATAGAGAACACCAAGCCCAGAGTCTTTCTGGTCTGGATTCTGCATGCAGTAGCTTGATAAGCTTTTGATAAAGCACTTACTTCATCTCTCTGACCATCAGTTTTCTCACTTGTAAAGAAGCTTGTACATGCAGCAAAGCGCGGTGGCTTGTGCCTGCAATTCTGTTGCTTTGAGAGGTCGAGGTGGGTGGATTGCTTGAGCTCAGGAGTTCAAGACCAGCCTGGGCAACATGGTGAAACCCCGCCTCTACAAAAAATACAAAAATGACCCAGACATGGTAGTAAGTGCCTGTAGTTCTAGCTGGTCAGGAGGCTGAGGTGGGAGAATCACCTGAACCCAGGAGGTCAAAGCTGCAGTGAGCCATGATTGCACCACTGAACTCCAGCCTCTGTGACACAGTGAGACCCTGTCTCAAAAAGAAAAAAGGGGGTACTCCATCAGTCCCACTTACCAAGAAGGCTTGTAAGGCCAAATGAAGTAATTCTTGAGGCCAGAATTAATTCTACACAAAGGTGTAGAACATACATTTAAGAAACTGTTAGGCCCATATTGCAGAAGGAGACATTTAAAACTATAGATATTGGTCAGTGTGGTGGCATATGCCTGTAATCCCAGCACTTGGGGAGGCCGAGATGAGAAGATCAGCATTGGCAACACAGTGAGACCCCCTTCCCTATTTAAATAAATGAAACTAGAGATGTTGCCCCTCCAACCAGATAGTGAAATAGTCAGGACGAGGAACACATGCCTCCCTCTCTCCATCCTTCTTTTATTCACAAGAATGCATCGAATATATGCCACTTCAATGGACTCTTGTTTTCCAACTTCAGGATGTTTGTGATGTGGTCGAGACAACACATCTGTGACAGACTCATAGAGAACCGCGGAGCAGAAGAAAATCAGCAAATAGACTAGAGGACCTGAGTTTCGAAGAGCACAGAGAAAAGATGAAGCACACACAAGTGCATGAAGGGACTCTCCTGAGAACCACTTTCCAACCTGCAGCAATAGGTACAGCCTGATTTGCATTCTTGCAGCCCTCATGGTCCTGATCTCCCGTTCTCCAGCCAAACCCCTCTGTCTCCATCTGAACCCTTCCCACCGTGCCTTCCAGAACCACAGCTACACTGTAAACACACCTTCTCCTTTATGTCTTCCACCTGTGTGCCTTGGCGAAATGCTAGGTTCTTCTCTACGGATTCCCTAAAGACACTGCTTCCTGGCAGGCTTGGTGACTGGAGGTTGTTCATTGACCCAGGCTCCACACCCCAGGGGACAAGTAAGCCCCACTTCACAATCTCCTACAGCCCCATGCCATTTGCAGAACGATGCCATTACCTGACATGACCCTGACACACCCTGTCCCTCACCCTGACACCTGTCCCTCACCCTGTCCTTCACCCTGTCCCTCACCCTGACACCTGTCCCTCACCCTGTCCCTCACCCTGACACCTGTCCCTCACCCTGTCCCTCACCCTGACGCCTGTCCCTCACCCTGTCCCTCACCCTGTCCACACTGGATTGCTCATCAAGCCTTCCCAGATACAGTTCTACTAAAATACGAAAAAAAATTAGCCAGGCATGGTGTCATGCCTATAGTCCCCGCTACTCGGGAGGCTGAGGCAGGGGAATTGCTTGAACCCGGGAGGCAGAGATTGCAGTGAGCCAAGATCTCACCACTGCACTCCAGCCTGGCGACAGAGTGAGACTCTGTCTCAAAAAAAAGAATATTTCAATCCCATGATGGCAGTTTCTCCTCACAAGTTAAAATATTATGAAACTACTTAATTAAGCCAATCTTATGAGCCTGTTTATGTGAACCTGACCCTGAGGGGTACATGTACTTTGGGGTAGTAGAAAATCAAGAAATAAGCCCCGGATTGTCGTAAATGTGCAAGTGTAATGAACACCCAAGAGTAGAGCACTCTTTAGATGTTGACATTTCTCTCTCCCAATCGCTGCATGAAAAGAAAAAATATCACCTTGTTTTTTTTTTTTTTCTCTCTTTTTTTTTAAGACAGAATCTTAAGTCTGGAGTGCAATGGTGCGATCTCAGCTCATTGCAACCTCCGTCTCCTGGGTTCAAGCGATTCTCCTGCCTCAGCCTCCTGAGTAGCTGGGATTACAGATGCATGCCACCATGCCCGGCTAATATTTTTATTTTTAGTAGTGACAGGGTTTCACCATATTGGTCAGGCTGGTCCCAAACTCCTGACCTCGTGATCTGCCTGCCTCAACCCCCCAAAGTGCTGGGATTACAGGCGTGAGCCACCACGCCCAACCCACTTTTCATACTGATCATTCTACAGTAGCATAGTTCTTACCTCTTTATACTAAAATACAGCTGTATAACTCTCTGTGCTCCATGGGACTGTAGGGGAAACACCCCTCCGTTCTTCACATCCCTAGACCTGAGCACAGGGTCCCCCATGGAGTAGACTGCCACACTGAACTCAGCAGTCTCTTCCCCTCTCCCACTCTCTGGAGCTCTCTATTTCCATACCCTGTCTGGATTTCTCCTCACATCCATAGTGATCCTGGCCTTTAAAATTTTCCCACATTGGGTCTGTGTCTCAGCCATTGCAGATATGAGTCGGTAGGCAGGGGTGAACTGAGGGTCTGCTCCCAGGTGTGGAGGTAAGGCTGAAGGTTTATCGCGTGCCAGATTCATTGTCAACATCACAGAACTGCCTTTCTCCTCGGTCATTCTGAGGAGAAGCCTTTCTTCTCAATCATCATGGATTCCTCAGTCATTCTCAGGAATCCATGGAGATAAGGACAGTCTTGCTTGTTACAGTTATGTTAAGAAATGTGAGGAAGGGGAAGATACTGAAATGCCCAAAGGAAAGAATCAGATTCTGTAGACAATCTGCCAGGAGCGAATGAAGAATGAAACTAGCCCTGAGGACTTCCAGGCACTAGTCCCAGTGGCACGAGGGCATTCAATCTTGAAAGCAAGCACTGAAGTGTTTCCTCTGTGTGGCCAAGAACCAGTTCCAAGCCATCTCTCCTCACAGAATGTCCTAAGATCCCAAGCACAATGAAATCCTACTAAAGGGAATAAATTGATGCACCTGGTTACACAGTCCCTGCCAGGCACGTACTTTTCTTGATCACTTCGGACAATCAGATCTTGTTTTCCTCTGTGAACCTTCCCAGGTGCAGAAAGTAACTTCTGTATTCATCTCGTGTCTAAGTAGCTGGTCCTTGAAACCAGACAGACTCTTCCTGCTCAGGCATGGGCTTGGGTTTTGGTCTGAAGTTAGCTCTTGGAGCTTTAGCTCTTGCTCTAAGTCCTGTCCCAATATACAGTTAGAGGAGCATGGTGAATGAGTGGAGATACCTGAAGCAGGGCTGGAAGAGCCAGAATTTAAGTCCAGCTTTGCCAGTAGTCAGAAGAACCGGAGGAATGTTATGCTCAGGCCCTTTATTCTTCCGGGCTGAAATGCCCCAGTTTTTAAGTAGTGGGAAGCAAGATAGGAAGTCATTTTTACCTCACTGTAACTTCCCTCAGCTCTCCCGTCAATTCTATACAGCAAAGCAAAGCCATACTACACCCCAGTCACCTCGCAGATCAATGGGAGAGGTGTCCCCACCTCCGTCTGAAAATTATACGGAGGCATGAGAAGCTTCCCCCTTGTACTGACTCTGATCTTCCTTTTGACATAAGTGATTCCACATAAAGGGATAAGCATATTTTAAGCAGGGCCATGGGAATGTATCCCAGACCTTCAGTAAGGCTGGCATCTTCAACAATTCTCCAGGAATGGACTGGGTGTGAGGACAAAGATCCTTTGGGAGGAGGATTGTCTAGGAAAATGCAGCGAGGCATCTTTAAACCATCTGCCTTGTGTTACTATGCTCTGTTATGAAACTTGGAGCTCTTGGTCAGAGCCATGGACACTATCCCTCTCCACTTCCAGGTTCCCTAATCCCCAGAGACTAACCAGGGAAGTTAAGGTACAGGAGCTCTGTGCCCCCACTGGTGTCTTCTGGGATTCATGAGATGGGGAGACAGGTCCTTAGGATATTCACTGTTCTCTAGGAAGCAGAATCTTTCACAACTTTATTTCCTGTAAAGTGTTCATTGCAACATGAAGACAAGATGCATTCAGTCCACAAATATAACAGCCCAGAGGCATTCAGGAGGCTGTACATCGCAAAAGGAAAGAATCAACACTAACAGCATAATGAACGATTGTTTGGGGGAACTTGACCAGCTGATTCTAAAATTTGTATGGAAATGCGAAGAACCAAAAATAGCGAAGACACTAACGCACACACCAAAAACAGTTAAGTGGGAAGATCTGGAGACAGAGTGATAAATGGATGGATGGATGGACTGATCTTATTTAAAAGCTTATGAAACTTACTATAAGGCTGTAGCAGTAAGACAGCATGGCATTAGTGCAAGTCTAGACAAACAGAACAACAGAGCTGATCACGTTTGCCAGCATTAGACTCACATATGTGGAGTTCGATTTAAAACAAAGGTGGCACAGGAAGATAGTGGACAAACAATCTTTTCAATAATTTTTGGTCTTGAAACAATTGGTTTTTCATAAGGGAAAAAAAACTAAATCCGACCCCTAATTTATACCATACACAGAAACCATCACAGGTGGTTATAGAGTTAAATGAGAAAGAAAAATAAGAAGAAAGAAGAAAGGAAGATAATATAGGAAATAGTTTACAACCCGGGCGTCAGGAGAGGTTTGTAAGCAAGAACCAGAAAATTGAGAAAATACATGCTGACTGTATTGGCCGGGTGGGCGGCTCACGCCTGTAATCCCAGCACTTTTGGAGGCCGAGGCAGGTGGATCACCTGAGGTCAGGAGTTCAAGACCAGCCTGGCCAACATGGCAAAATCCTGTCTCTACTAAAAATACAAAAATGAGCCTGGCGTGTTGGGGAGCACCTACAGTCACAGCTACCTGGGAGGCTGAGGCAGAAGAACTGTTGAAACCCAGGAGGCGGAGGTTGCAGTGAGCCGAGATTGGGCCACTGCACTCCAGCCTGGGTGATGAGCAAGACCCTGTCTCAAAAAAAAAGAAATGAACAATAATAATAGTATTGAATACCTACTCTATGGCAGTGTGAGTGCAAAGCATTTTCTAAGCTGTATCTCATCTCATCCTCAAAAAAACACACGAAACACTGCAGTGCACTTTGTGAGAAGCAGATCTTGAGGCTGCGATGCTAAATTACACATCCGAGGGTGTGAGCCTGCAAAGCAGCGCGCAGCCGGTAACGCCGTGCTCCACTGCAGCCCTGCGCTCATGGGCTGCCCCGATACAAGTCTGCCTTAAGGGTCAAAACGAAACCAAAGTTACTGTCATCTTCACTCTCAGACATCCATTATTACCCCACAAGAGACAGGTCTAAGGGTCCTTCCCGGGGGCTGAGCTCTTGCTCCAGAGAAGCCCCATCTGGCTCCACTGTGGACGCGGTGCATCCAACCTTGAACATGGCACTGAGCCAACTCTTCCTGTAGACTGACGGAGAGTTCCAACTCCTCAACTCCAAATAAGAAATCTCTCCTAGAACCTCCCAAGCCCCCTAATCCTAGCCGACATCTCATACCAGCCATCTGGAAAACAGTCCTTCAATGAACTTTTTCAGGAACTTTTTTTTTTTTTTTTGCAGAATCTGCCTCCAGCCAGGTAAGTAAGTCGGCTGCCAGACAAGGAAGCTGTCCTTTTTCCGCTAGTTCTCTTGGTCAGGACTGTGGTTGACACCTTGGGACCCTCCATGTCTTAGAACTGTCTTTCAGGCTTAAATTACGGCTGTGTTTCATAACATCCCGGCTCTGCTGAGCGCTCAGTGGTTCTCCAGAGGAAAGAAAAGGCAGAGCAGACATTTTCACTGTCACGTTTATATCAAGGTACATTTGGAGGGAGAGGGAAAGGTTCAGGCCTGGGTTTTGTCCTATTCTGCTGCCAGGAAACATGGCAGGCAGCCTTAGCTGAGTCTCTTCTTTTCCTGTGGTTTGTAGAAAAGGCAGCATTGAACAGCCCAGGGCCTCTTCTTCCTGGAATTCTGTAGAAGCCTGTGATCTCCCCAGTACGCCCCTCCAGGAAGAGTGAGGCCAGTGGCCAGCCCCACCCAGCTCAGCCCAGCCCAGCTCTATAAAGGAGCCTCTCAGACAGCCTGGAAGTTCCAGCCCTGTGCGCTCCTTGGCCATGAACCTCTATCTTTCTCCGTTACTCCTCTTCCTGGCAATCTTATTGCCTTCAGGTAAGATAGTGAGTGTGGGTCTGAACATGGGCAGATTCCCAAAGATTGAGATGCTTAAAAAACCCTCTAAGTATGAACCTGGAGACCATCATTCTCAGCAAACTGACACAAGAACAGAAAATGAAATACCGCATGTTCCCACTCATAGGCGGGTGTTGAACAATGTGAACACATGGACACAGGGAGGGGAGCACTACACACTGGGGTCTGTTGAGGGAAATAGGGGAGGGACAGCGGGGGTGGGGAGTTGGGGAGAGATAGCATGGGGAGAAATGCCAGATATAGGTGAAGGGGAGAAAGGCAGCAAATCACACTGCCACATGTGTACCTATGCAACTATCTTGCATGTTCTTCACATGTACCCCAAAACCTAAAATGCAATTTAAAAAAAAATTTTCTTTAAACCCTCTAAGTAAAAGCCCAGCAACAGGACACCAATATCAGATGGGCCAGCAGGTTAGGGCGCAGTAAGCAGACCGCAGCTCCTGCCCTGCTCTGCTGTTCCTGCAGCCTGAAGACCTGACAAGGCACCAGGGAAGGGACTGAACCAGGCAGCCACCCAAACCCATTTCCCCTCCCACGCCTCTGGCCAGCCTGAGCTTTATGTGCCTTGCTGAGATGTGGTAAGAGGTGAAGTGAATCACAGATAACAAGCCGTCCACCAGGTGATGCAGCCTAGGATTTCTCCCCAGCCTCATGAAGATTGATTGTTCTTTTCTGTGGTCTCTCCCCACTTGAGGAAGAGGTATGTTTGGGAACAATGGAGTCCGAGTTCGCACCTGCACTAGCCGGAACGCCGTATGCTTCTTCGGGTGTCCACCAGGATATACGTGGATTTCATTCTGCCACAATATTTTGTCTTGCTGTAAAAGTATGACAAAGTTTCTGCCCCCACAAGCCAAAGAGCCATGGTCTAAATAAAAAGAGATGCGAATGGTTCAAAGGGCTGAACTCCTAATCTGTGTAGGATCTGAGAGCTCCTATGTGAGCCATGGGCAGCAAATGAGGATCAGATTCTGACAATTGACTGGCAAAATTCCAGAAGCATTCCGTAAAGGGAGCACGGCCAGCCGTGAAGTGCATCCCCTATTATTTTTCCTACCCTCCCATCTCCAGTTACTCATTCCTCTTTCAAATTCAAATTCAGGCCTGGCTTGATGGCTCACACCTGTGATCCCAGCACTTTGGGAGGGTGAGGCAGGCAGATCACTTGAGGTCAGGAGTTCATGACCAGCCTCGCCAACATGGTGAGACCCTGTCTTTACTAATAATACAACAATCAGCCGGGTGTGGTGGTGGGCGCATGTAATACCAGCTACTCGGGGAGGCTAAGGCAGGTGAATCACTTGAACCCGGGAGGCGGAGGCTGCAGTGAGCCAAGATCGTGCCACTGTGCTCTGGCCTGCATGACAGAGTGAGACTCTGTCTCAAAAAAAACAAATTCAATTGATTGATACAAGTTCACAGACCCAGGCGATGATATATTCTGGGCATAGAAACAAGGGCTAGCCCTGCTCCGTCACACATGTAAGTGGTTTATATCTATTAGGTGACTTACTCTGCACAGTAAAATCTACAATTTCTCCCATTTGGCAGGTGAAGAATGCTTTCCAAGGTCACACAACAAGTAAGAGTTAGTGCTGGGTTTGAACCCAGGCAGTTTTCGCCCAGTGTCTGGTTTTGCTGCCCCTCTCCATCAGTAAGTATGAGAATGTGGCCAGATTGTGGTTCCAAAGAGGAGGAGGCAAGAATCCAACTAGACCCCGGAAGGACAAGCCCCTCAATGCTCATCCTGTGGTTTAAGGCCACCGTGCTTCTGGCTGCCAAGTCGCATTCATGGCTCTGTACTCAGTGGCTTTCATGAGTCACGGTCCCTCAGATCCCACACACCGATCTGCTGCTTTCACCACAGAGGTGGAGCGTTGGCCCACACACGCCCACTCCAAACCTGCAGTGTCTGTGGGGCAGCACTGCCCAGGGTCCTCACCATCCACTCCAGGGTTTCCACCTGGAGGCAGAGGCCTCGGGTCTGCATGGAGACCCTAATTGTCCTCTGCTAAGAAAAGTGAAGGGTAGCTTTGTTTCAGATCTCACTTCTCCAGGAGCGTGCCTGGCGGGCATGCTCTGAACATCTGCACTGAATGCTAAGCAGGGGTGAGCTGCCTGCTCAGAGCTCTGCCTCAACATCAGTCCCCCAAATTCCAGCAAAGAAGAAAAACCAGAGATCACCCTGGTCCACGAGGCGGGCCTCCGAGGGCACTGTGCTTCAGCTGGTCACTGTGGGCGTGCGGGTGTCCACAGAGGTCCTGTGTGCAAGGGCACTGTGCTTCAGCTGGTCCCTGTGGGCATGCAGGTGTCCACAGAGGTTCTGTGTGCGAGGGCACTGTGCTTCAGCTGGTCCCTGCGGGCGTGCGGGTGTCCACAGAGGTTCTGTGTGCGAGGGCACTGTGCTTCAGCTGGTACCTGTGGGCGTGCGGGTGTCCACAGAGGTTCTGTGTGCGAGGGCACTGTGCTTCAGCTGGTCCCTGCGGGCGTGCGGGTGTCCACAGAGGTTCTGTATGTGAGGGCACTGTGCTTCAGCTGGTCCCTGCGGGCGTGCGGGTGTCCACAGAGGTTCTGTGTCAGACCACCTGCCCGTGCTCACTTCAAACTACCTCTTACCAAAAAAAAAACAGGACATTGCAACAGTTCACAAATAATACAAATGCGTTGAAATTAACATGAAAAAAGAAAATACAAGAGAAAACCGGGTGAAAGGAAAAAGCAGATATACTTTCACCAGATGTCAAAAGGATCCAAAGCTCAAAAAAGGCTAAAGCCGTCGACCCTTTTCTTGCAGTTCCTAAGTTCATGGCCACTCCTGCCTGGTGGAGATGCTGCTCTAACCTTGACAGTAGGGCAGAAAAGACACATCTCTCTCCAGCAGCATTCAGAGAGGACCGAAGCATGTACAATTATTTCTGCTGAAAACCCACACGGGAAACAAGAATACAAAGTCATCACACCAACAGCATAATGTATTGACCCTGCAGCCCCTGGGTGTGGACCTAGTCAGGGGGCCGTGTCTCTGAGGAGGCACGAGTGCCAATCTTGCTCTCCAAGTCCCAGGACACCCATGGGGAGGGTCCACAATTTAGGCTTAGAGACCTCTGTCCCCAGAAATGTTATTGGGATGAGTGACAGAATCACATGAGTGCCATCGAGATATCAGTTTTCCCTGGTGCAGCAAACTGTTTCAGGACAGTGAATCCACAGGCCCGCCCTGAGGACAAAAGCAATTCTATCACACAGAGTTGATAGGAGTAGCAGTTCCTTATGCTCCCTCCAAAAAATACCCAATTGCTACGTACTGCAGCATGTTTCACAAGCCATGCCAACCCTCACAGTTTAGGGTTTAAGCAGGCAATGCCAGTGGCCACACGCTGAAGGGACAATGACTTAGTCTGGACGTCAGTCGTGGCGGGTTTTTTATTTTTGCTTTTTGTTTGTTTTTTTTCTGAGATGGAGTCTCGATTTGTCGCCCAGGCTGAAGTGCAGTGGTGTGATTTGGACTCACTGCAACCTCCACCCTGCCTCCATGAGGCGGGTTCAAGCTATTCTCCTGCCTCAGCTCCCAAGTAGCTGGAACTATGGGCACACGCCACCATGCCCAACTAATTTTTTTGTATTTTTAGTAGAGACAGGGTTTCAAAGTGTTGGCCTGGCTGGTCTCAAACCCCTGACCTCAAGTGATCCACCAGCCTCGACTTCCCAAAGTGCTGGGATTACAGGTGTGAGCCACCACACCAGGCCAATATCATGGCTTCTTAACTCAGGCAGGAGCCAGGACCAGTGTGCAATACGGGAGCAATTGACTGTGAGTGTGAGGTGTTCAGACGGATTCCTGGCTCTGATTCCTGAGGTTGTTTGTAAGGAAGTCGTCCAATCTTGTTCTCCAAAATCAGAGCAGATTGGGTGGGCACGGTGGCTCACGTCTGTATCCCAGCACTTTGGGAGGCAGAGGAGGGCAGATCACAAGGTCAGGAGTTCAACACCAACTTGGCCAACGTGGTAAAACTCCATCTCTACTGAAAATACAAAAATCAGCTGGGTGTGGTGGCAGGTGCCTGAAATCCCAGCTACTCTGGTGGCTGAGGCAGGTGGCTGCGCCGAGAGGCACAGGTTGCAGTGAGCCGAGATTGCGCCACTGCACTCCAGCCTGGGTGACAGAGCAAGACTCTGTCTTGGGGAAAAGAAAAAAAAATGGAGCAGATTACTCAACTAACTTCAACCCATCAGGGGACCTGATAGTGTAAAATCTTCATAACTAAAGTGCAGGAGTAAAAACTAACATTCAGAACAGACGAGGCATTTTCCCAGGACCATGCAACTCATCAGTGTGCAAAGCTGGGATTCACACACAGGTCTAGCCCCTCCCTTTCTGCTTCCTGATCTGTAGTATGACGCCCCGGTCTCTCTGAGGGTACTGCTGGCACTGGAAAGGGAAGAGGTGAACTGCAACCTTCTGGAGATGTGGAGTCAGGTCAGAAAAGCATGAGTCAGGTCGTTGAGAGAAATCAGCCCTTCCAACCAGACCACGAGGCAGGGATCCTTAAGCTTATAGCCTGGGACTTTGAAAGGACCTGATTGGTTAAAACTGGTCTGAGAAAGTTCCTTCCCAGTATCTGGGCTGGAGATTTCTAGCTTCTGCCCAGTTTTCCCCACAGGCTAGCACTGCTCAGCTCTGCTCAACGGCGGAGCTAGACAAGAGAGTAATTGAGAAGAAGGAGAAGCCGCAGAAGAAGCTGACCTTCCCTTCAACTGCCCTGTAGTTAGCTCCCTTGCAGAGAGATAAAAGACCTTGAACCAAAGTCTCTGGGCGCACTTGATGGTGCTTTTCCTCCCCCAGCCTCAGGTGCAGGCTGACTCCTGGGTGCCTGGCTGGCTGCAGCCCAAGTCCTGATGAGTGCAGCCTGTATCTTGATGGCCTTCATTGTGCCTGGAGGAGGGCAGAGGAGTACAAATGTTCGAGGTGTCCCAGGACTTCCACAGACCAAAACCTCCCTGGAGTGGGGAAAGGCGTTTATTGGATTTGGCAGAATGTTCAAAGCCTTACGTCCTCTCCACGTGCACTCACGAGGCTCTGTCATCTGCAGTTGGCCTCCTGACACTGCGTAGGCATTCTCTATAGGACAGACCCTTCACACACACCGGAAAAAAGCAGGCTGGCTTTCTGACTTTGCAGGCAGATGTCCTGGAGGCTTGGTAACTATAACATAAATCGCTTCTAGGGAACCCAGCTAAATCAGCTTTCAGAACTTCTATTTACTGGGTTCATTTCATCTCAAATGCTGAGAACTGTGAGCCAGGCCCAAATACAAAAGCCCCTTGAGGCTGAGTGTGATGGTTCACTCCTGTAATCCCAGCACTTTGGAACTGCAACGTGGGGCAGATTGCTTGAGCACAGGCGTTTAAGACCAGCCTGGGCAACATGGTGAAAGCCCATATCTTCAAAAAATACAAAACTTAGCTGGGTCTGGTGGCTCACAGCTGTACTCCCAGCTACTCAGGAGGCTGAGGTGGGGGGATCACTTGAGCCTGAGGGGGTCAAGGCTGCAGTGAGCCATGATTGCACCACTGCACACAGCCTGGGTGAGTTACCAAGACCCTGTCTCAAAAATACAAATTTAAAAAGCCCCTCGGGAAACCCTGCCTAATATTACTGAACATACTTGTGCTTTTCTTCACCATTGCTACAGGGGAATCTGAATTCCTCCCGGTTCTGCAATTCCCTACCACGGGCTCAGAAACCTTAGTTATTCTGAAAGCAGCAAGAGGTCAGTTTTAGGCCAAAATCCATTTATTCTGCTCTCAATGTCTTTCAAAGGAAAATGGAAATAACGCAATGCTCCACATGGTGATCGAGGAGGAACAGGATGTTTCCCCTTCATTTCTCCAAACTGTGCTTAGGCAAGTGCCGGAGCCACGAAGAGCCCCACCTCACTCTTGCTCTCCTTCTCTTAGTCCTCTCTGTCTCATGTAAGGCAGAATCTTTGGAGGATACAGAGAGTAATTACAAATAAGTACTGGGTTCTGCTGGCCCAGGGTGTGCTGACTTTCTGCTCCTCCCATGGCGAGCCGCCATGGCCAAGGGCTCGTTCTCCCCGCCCCTCTGCCCGCTTAGCCTACGAGCAAAGAGAGAGTTCCACTTGCCACCCGTCTTCACAGACACTTGCATCGCCTGTCTTCTATAATCTCACCCTCTGGGGGGTGTGTAGTGGTGTCTCATCAGTTTTGTTTTTGTGGGGTTTTTGTTTTGTTTTGTCTTGTTTGAGCCAGAGTTTCCCTCTGTCACCCAGGCTGGAGTTCAGTGGTGCCATCTCAGCTCACCGCAACCTCAGACTCCCGGCTCAAACGATTCTCACGTCTCAGACTCCTGAGTAGTGTGCCATTACACTCGGTTCATTTTTGTATTTTTGTAGAGACAAGGTTTCTCCATGTTGGCTGGTGTGGTCTCAAACTTCTGACCTCAGGTGATCCACCTGCCTCGGCTTCCCAAAGTGCTGGAATTACCTGCATGAGCCACTGTGCCCTGCCAAACAAAAACCAGTTTTAAAATTAGCTGGATGTGTCTCTTAAAAACGTGTTTTGGCCAGGTGCGATGGCTCACACCTGTAATCCCAGCACTTTGAGAGGCGGAGGCAGGTGGATCAGGAGGTCAAGAGTTCAAGACCAGCCTGGCCAACCTGATGAAAACCCCTCTCTACTAAAAATACAAAAATTAGCTGGGCATGGTGGGGCACACCTGTAATCTCAGCCACTCAGGAGGCTTAGACAGGAGACTCATTTGAACCCAAGAGGCAGAGGTTGCAGTGAGCCAAGATCATGCCATTGGACTCCAGCCTGGGTGACAGAGCCAGACTCTGTCTCAAAAAAAAAAAAAAGTTGTGGTTTTTGTTTGTTGTTTTTGTTGTTGTTGTTGTTGAGATGGAGTCGCCCTCTGTCGCCCAGACTGGAGTGCAGTGGCCATGGGTTCCAGCAATTTTCCTGCCTCAGCCACATCAGGTAGCACCACCATGCCCAGCTAGAGTGTGTGTGTGTGTGTGTGTGTGTGTGTGCGCGCGCGCGTGTGTGTGTGTGTGTGTGTGTGTGTGTGTATTTTTAGTAGAGACAAAGTTTCGCCATGTTGGCCAGGCTGGTCTCGAACTCTTAACCTCAGGTGATCTCGCCTCAGCCTTCCAAAGTGCTGGGATTACAGGTGTGAGCCACTGCGCCCAGCCAAAAATGTTTTTTTCACTTCCATTTATCCAACACTTCCTGCTGTTTTGCGTACCTGACACTAAGTGTCTTCTTCCTCTTTCCTGTTCCCCACTTCTTTTGTGGGATCCTCTTGAAGCCTCCCTTGTGGACTGTGTCTCTTTCCTGCCACCAGGTGGCAGACTTTGCCTGCTCTTCCACCCTAAGCTCTTCCACAACTGCTTAGGGTCCGCGGGAGTTGGGGTGGACAAGCTGTTGGAATCCTGTGTCTTTTCTGAAGTTCTGCTTGGCAATCAATTGCTTCCTTTTCTTTTTGGTCCTCGTGGTCAGCACAATGCTTTGGGCAGAGTCAGCATTTAGCAACAAGCAAAGCTTGTTAAACAACACAGTTAAAACAGAGTTTTGGTTTGTAAGATAAAGTTCTAGAGGCCTATTGCGTAACAAAGTGTGGTCTATGTCACAGGACTGAACCATACTCTCATAAGTGGTTATGGGCCGGGCGTGGTGGCTCACGCCTGTCATCCCAGCACTTTGGAAGGCTGAGGTGAGCGGATCACGAGGTCAGGAGATCGAGACCATCCTGGCCAACATGGTGAAACCCATCTCTACTAAAAATACAAAAATTAGCTGGTCCTGGTGGCACGTGCCTGTAATCCCAGCTACTCTGTAATCCCGGCGCGTGCCTGTAATCTCCTGCCTACTCCAGAGGCTGAGGCAGAAGAATCGCTTGAACCAGGGAGCCAGAGGTTGCAGTGAGCAGAGATAGCGCCAGTGTACTCCAGCATGGCGACAGAGCCAGATTCTGTCTCAAAAAAAAAAAAAATGTGGTTATGATGGTAAAGTTTGTCATACGTTTTGCAGCACAATTGAAAGTAAAAATATAATAATAGTTCAGTTTTTCTTTTCTTTTTTTTTTTTTTTTTATACAAGAGTCTCACTGTGTTTCCCAGGCTGGAGTGCCATGCTGCAGTGGCACGATCTCAGCTCACTGCACCCTCTGCAAACTCTGCCTCCCAGGTTCAAGCAATTCTCTTGCCTCAGTGTCTGGAGCAGCTGGGACTAGAGGTGTGTGCCACCACACCCAGCTAATTTTTGTATTTTTAATAGAGGTGGGGGGTTTCACCATATTGACCAGGCTGGTCTCAAACTCCTGGCCTCATGATCCACCCGCCTCAGCCTCCCAAAGTGCTGGGATTACAGGTGAGAGCCACCGTGCCGGCCAGTCAGAGCTTTGTTTACCAACCCCAGCCCCGAGGCGGCACTCATCGTCATGTCCTTATACCTCCTCTGTTATTATAAGCAAAGTAGATTAATGGGCTGGGCATGGTGCCTCACCCCTGTAATCCCAGCAGTTTGGGAGGCCAAGGTAGGTGGATCACCTGAGATCAGGAGTTTGAAACCAGCCTAGCCAACATGGTGAAACCTTGTCCCTACTAAAAATACAAAAATTAGCCCATGCCTGTAGTCCCAGCTACTTGGGAGGCTGAGGCAGCAGAATCACTTGAACTCAGGAGGCGGAGGTCGCAGTGAGCCAAGATCATGTCATTGCACTCCAGCCTGAGCGACAGACTGAGACTCAAATAAATAAATAAATGTAAAGTGGATTAACGGAGGCAAAACCTCTCTTTGCAAAATTTCTCTACAAGAATGTCTACTCTCCAAATGCTCTGTGACCGGTGTTTGCAGAATGTGACAGTTTACAACGATAAAGGCCCAAGAGGTTACAGCTGTGGTCTTCCTCACACAGCAAGGGGGAGCTAGGGCCCACATTAAAAATTCAAACAACGGAGCACAGCCATGGGTGTCCTGATCATAGGACAGGGTAGGGCTGAGAACCGGGTGAGCGCTGGGCGAGGCTGTCCGGGGGACACTCCTGCCATTGCTGGATCTGACCCAGGAAAGCAGCCCCTGGTGTGGGCCCAGGAGACAGCAGCCAGGAGGCCCAGCTGTCTATGGCAGCTCCGTGCCTGCAAACACACTCACACGTGCCTGGAGATGGATCTGGCAAGGCTCTTGGAAATCACCTGTGAAGATGAGCAAACGGAGCCCCAGAGAGGGGAAGGGACATTGCCGGGATCACACACACTGTGAGGGAGGCCAGAAACCAAACTGGATCCCAGATCTTCGCAGGGGCAGCCCAGTGCCCCATGCCCCACCATGTGCATTTATGGAAGGAAGCTGGCAAAAACAATGGGTGGAAATCAATTTCTGACCACTTAGGAAGTGGAAATCCTTCGCAAAGATAAGATGTATCAATTGGGTTCAATTCTGCAAAAAGTTGTACATTCAAAATGTCAAAGGAAAGACACCAATTTGGAAAACAAGGCAGGTGGAGGCAAAACAAAAATATTGATAATAATCAGTGAAGAGTAGAGCACCTCCCTGGCCCGGTAGCTCACTCCTGTATTCCCAGCAATTTAGGAGGCTGAGGTGGGTGGATCACTTGAGGTCAGGAGTTCAAGACCAGCCTGGCCAGCATCTCCACTAAAAATAGAAAAATTAGCCGGGTGTGGTGGTGCACACCTATAATTTCAGCTACTCAGGAGGCTGAGGTAGGAGAATTGCTTAAACCTGGGATGCGGAGATTGCAGTGAGCGAAGATCACACCGCTGCACTCCAGCCTGGGTAACAGAGTGAGACTGTCTCCAAAAAAAAATGTAGCCAGGTGTGGTGGTGCACACCTGTGGTCCCAGTTACTCCAGAGGCTGAGGGGGGAGGATCAGTTGACCTTAGGAATTAGAGGAATCAGTGAGCCGAGATTGCACCACTGCACTCCAGCCTGGATGACAGAGTGAGACCCTCTCAAAAAAAAAAGAAGAGCACTAGGAGAACAGCACTGAAAGGTGTCAGGGACTTTTAGAGACTTGGATGCAGTCAGCCTGGGCTCAGCTACGGGACATGAGGGAAGGTACTTAACTTCCTGAACTTCACTTTCTTGTTGATAAACAGAAAAGTAATTGCACAACAGAGCAGGAGGAAGTTGCCGCAGTTAGCACCTATCTGGGACCTCCTGCAAGGTCGGTGGATGTTGGTGCATCTGATTCTATTCGTTGATGATAGGAATTGATAGCACCTGTCAGACCTCTACCCAGATTCTAATTGCTGAGATAGAATGAATCAAAAACCCGAGCTCTGCTGAGGTCTAGAAAGAAAATTCACAACCTGCGTAGGGCTTCCCTCAAAGAGCAACAAATCACAGAAGCGTCTGGAGAGCAAGGCCAAGTTCACAGTGCTGAGTGCCCTTCAGTGCTTTCCGTCTTCCGTAGATTGTGGGATAGTGTGTCTTCCAAAATGTGTGCTCACATCCGATCACCGTGGAAATCATTCAAACATCAGCTGGACAACATTAGCAAGAAGCCTGCAAACCCCAGCTCCCTGACACTTCAGCCAGGCTCCTGTTTCTTTTTCTGATTTCCTAACAATGCACAGGCCCTGCCCTCAGGGCACCCACCCACTGCTTCCGAGTGATGGGCACTCCCAGACAAGACCCAGGCTTTCCTCCCCACGGCGCCAGCCTGGGAAAAGCAGACAGAGCTCGGCCCCGATGGCCCCTCCGCCGGCTCCCCCAGCCCTTCCCTTCCCTGGCACCAAAACAGATGACTTCATCTGAGGGACACAGCTCCTATCAGCCAGCCAGGCCTCCGGAACGGGAGCAGAAGGGAGCACGGAGGCTGGCCTCTGCTCTGGTTACTTTGGCACAAGAGGAGGCTCTGTGGAGTGTCAGCCACAGCCTTCAAATCAGAGAAGCCACGGCCTTGATCCAGGGCCCCTGCCACCCGGGGCCAGCGCTGGCCCTGCACGTGGCCGCCTCTCTCAGCCTGACTTCCTCCCTCCTCCACACTGCGGTGGGGTGCACAGTAGCTGAGTTAGAGGCTACTGCACAGACAGCAGAGGAGCCTCCCTTTCTGAGTCCCTGCTCTCCATCCTAAGCCCGCTGACCATAGTCCATTCATTGGGTCCATGTTGAGAGTCTCAGTAATTTTTAATCCAGAGTGGGAATTCAAGCCTCAATCACTATCTAGATTCAGGGGTCCACTTTCCTGCTCCTCAGCCCCCTTCCTTGAGGGTGCCATGTGTGACTATGGAGGGGCCTGCAGGGAGGGCGGGAAGAGTCGCTCAGGCAGGCAGTGGCCTCAGGGAAGCAGTCACGTCCTGCCTGGGCATGTCACTGCGCTAGTGGCCTCACTGTTGGTCTTTTTCAGTCTGGTCCAATGCTTTAAGGGTGCCAGTTGCTGCCCTGGCCGGAATGGAGTGCATGCGATCACCCGGAAGATGGCAGCGCTGGAGCTGGGCTTGCGTTTCTCACAGCCATGTGGGCTCGAGCCAAGCAAGTCACCTAACCTCACCAAACCTCAGTGGTCCCATCTGTAAAACAAGGACATGATTGTCACCATCTCAGCGCACCGTTGTAAGAATTACTACTTTGTGCCCAGTGTGTAGTAAGTACTCAATAAATGCAACGTTTTTTGTTTTGTCTTATTTTAATAGAGGGAGGGAGGGAAGGAGTAAGAAAGAAGGAAAGAAGCAAAGAGGAAGGAGGCTCTGGGTCAAGCACAATAGCTCACACTGGTAATCCCAGCACTTTAAGAGACTGAGGTGGGAGGACTGCTTGAGCCCAGAGGTTTGAGACCAGCCTGGGTAACACAGTAAGTCCATATCTCTACTAAAAATTTTAAAATTAGCCCAGTGTGGTGGTGTGCACCTATAGTCCCAGCTAGTTGGGAAGCAGAGTCAGGAGGATCTCTTGAGTCTGGGAGGTTGAGGCTGCAATGAGCTGTGATTGCACCA